TAGTCACCAAAAACCTAGAAAGCTGAGATCACTGAGGATCATGGGAAATAATTCCTTCCAAACAATCAAAGCTTTTTTGATACAAACTGCAGCTTGAGGATGCTCAGGAGAGGTGAGACTATAACTGGTAAAAAATGTCAAGTCCATCAACAGTTATCAAGCGGTTGAAACATGTAAAATGTACCTACCCATAATCCTTGTCGGCCTCAGCTTTATAGCTTTTCGGGTGACTAACTTTATTGAAATAAGTATATATGTTTTTATTTTAGGTTAAAAAGCGTTACGATACTCTTGCTCGTGTTTGGAGTGAACTCCCAAGTGATGCTGACTTAGTGACACGGGAAGTAAATACCGCTGATCAGAACACCACAGACGCGTCTGGCTCGAATGGTGTGGATCATAATGCTTCAGGACGATCTTCACAGAGCTGGATTAATTTCTGTGAGAAAATGAAGATTCCTTCATCAGAAAATCCGCTCCCATGTAAGAACGAAAACCTTAAAACGGTTCGAAAAGGCAGACAGATAAGCAGATTGTGTGTAGATAGAAAGGGAGGCAGAACGAACAGACAGGTAAGAAGGGAAACGACAGAGGGAAAGAAAGACAGGAAAACTATTCAAACAAGACAGAAAATTCTAAAATTCTACAAAGCTTTCTCTGTTGTACCACAGCGTGGGACAATCACAACAGAGCTAGGCTCCAAACTAGGTGAAAGCCCAAAGATCGAATTAGAATTTAGAAGTTGATTTTTGAGGAGGGAGGAAAACCGGAGAACCCGGAGAAACACCCTCGAAGCACAGGAGAGAACCAACAAAGAACTCTACTCACATACGACATCGAGGTCGGCAGGACTCAAACTCGGGCCGCGTTGGTGAGAGGCGGTGCATTAGCAGCGCATGCTACCAGTGCTTCCCAGAAGTAATTTCCACTAACAGTATTAAGGTATAACCCGATACATTCTGGCGAGTAATCGGGCCGACAAATCTCAATGGGCAATTTACCTTCATTTTGTATCACACTTGCTTCTTACTGTTTAATTTGCTTACAAAATTAGTGCGAATGAAGGATGCGCACTACTACATCTTAGTAACATATAACAATTATTAACGTTACAACGTACGTTTTTTAGCCTGGGAACAAGGTCACCGCTGCACATTGATAAACAAAGACCATCCGCTGACCAACATGAAACATGGCAGGCTCTACTTAACACAGAAGTAAGTCATATCTGATCTACATATTGCTATATTCTCTACTTTCGCATGCCTATAATACTTTGCGGCTTTAGGGAAAAGGGGGGGGGGGGGGCTGATAAGCAACCGCATTTATATTGCTTATTCAGTTGATCAAACAATGCTGAAAGTCGAAAAAATACCTCGATTGACATCCAAATCTAAAATCTAAAAGTTAGAAACAGTACATTTTGAACACTTCTTCGTAAGTCTTTTTTTTTTTCTGTGACACCAAGCGTCGCGATATTCTAAACTTAACTTAAAATTAACTCGGAATGAACTGATATTCAGTATTTTACAGATAAAATCAGGTAAAATGTACATCCGTTTCAAAAACATTTACTGATTTTAGTACAGGTTTTGTCCATTTACCCCCTACCCCCTTCCCTCCCCTCCCTCCCCTCCCCGCTCTCCCAAAACATTATGGCTGAGCCTAAGGAATGTATAGAATTATTAGTCGTCATTTCCTAACTGAGATTTTGAGGGAGATTTTTATATTTTAATATTATTGAATATTTTATCAGTTTTAGGGATATTTTTTGATAGATTGCTATCGATAGGGTTTAATTATTCTATTTTTTTGTTCCAAAGTCTTTTGTGCTTTGAGAGAAACAAGTCCTCTAAAAACATCGTAATAAAACTGGAAAACATCTTAAGAGCTTCCAAGGTAACAGTAATAACCGAAATAGTTTTTGATACCRTTATTAATTCATTTAAAATGCTTGGGCGTAACACCTTCACGAACACTAAACGCGCATTGAGACGCAATGTATATCTCAATATGTGCACCCTTTCCTGGGACGTTCGGGGGTGAATTCATGACGCGATCTTCACACGATTAAGGTCTCAAC